AGGCAAAAAATGAATAGGCTGTGTCGACACCAGAGAATAGTTAATATCATATTAAATAGTTTATACTGTCGACATATTCATTTAATTTTATGCACGGAGTTAAATTTTCTCGGCGTTCTGTTTACCGGGACAAAAGTGACCCGTTTTCTAATAATTAATAAGAAAATGTATGTATTGATATTTGTGCATGACAATACGTTAACTGTCAGTTGTTAGTAAGCCTTGCTCTTGTTGCATAAATAGAAGAGATCGAAAAACATTGATTAAGAATTCACGTGCTTTCATATGAAACGGCAGTTTACAAGCTTTAAATGCGCAAATTGTAGATATCAAGAAACAGAGAAAATTGAATCGAAAGTACTTCATATAATATAGATTTTTCTCGACGCTTTATGGTTGAAATACAAAGAATCTATCAATATAATAATAATTATCCCGGGATAACTCCCGAATAATTCGCATTGGACAAAGGGCATCCGTCGTACGTTGGACCACCCATGCCCCACCAATTTGGAAATGAAATACCTTGATTGCTTAAAGCTAAGAAGATGAGAAGACTGGAGAATGCTACACCTATGTCTAAAGCTGCTGATGTGATATATGCATAACGGTCCCACCAGTCAAGTGCATAATACTTGATAACATAATTAAAAAATAAGCCCAAAAATAACCAAGAGACAAAGTTTCCTGCTGGTGCTGGTATTAGATATGATAAACTTGAGAACATAATTGGGAAGTGAACATAATGTAACCAAGATTGTGACGGCCATTTTCGTAATATCAACCATTGTATGATAGGCAATATGACACCCAGAGGAAAACACCAGAATATATGATAATAGGATACATCGTTCTTAATAAACGATTTTTGCGCACCCACCGCACCCCATATCACTGAAGCAGTATAAAAAACATTTGGATTTGGGCATCCCCAGTTCTGACTCTGTGGCGTACATATATCTTTAATACCATCTAATAAGAAAAGACCAAATCCGTAGCTGACAACAGAACTAATGACAGCGGATGATATCTGAGCGATAAACATTATACGTGGAGGCACTTTCATATAATGTCCCAATTTTAAATCTTGTATCATTAGTAATGCTTGCACTTGGCCTATATATGTGTATGTTTTGAATGTTCCATTACCGATGAGAATAGTCATATATAACGTCGACCAACAAGCTGAAATATTTATTAGGCATAGAAGTTCGACGATTCGTCAATGTAATTGACACATGGTGCAGTTGGATTACCGCTCATTAAGTAGCCGCCTATAAATTCTGCAAAAACGTTAAGACCAAGTTGCTGATTTGATAGGGCTTGCACGATACCAATAGGTAAAAGTAATACGAATACAAGAATTATAGCGATGAATAACCAATACCAGGGCATCAAGTCTCCAAAATGACAAACCAAACATGCTACAAAGACATTGACACAAAACACAATAGTGTACCACCATTCAGGTGCTTCTCCGTATTTAGCCATTAACTTAGCGTGCACTTCATTCATAGCTTCTGTTATCGACATATTGAACTGTCTTATAATCTCTTTACCATGAAACAGTATCGTGTGAACAATGCATGATGTTAGAGCAGCAAATGTTGGTCCATAGGCAAGTGCAAACATGACTGTTAGTCGAATCGTACCATATTGCTTGTAGGCAGTTTCATTTAATTTCGAATTTTGATCCAGTACAACTGTAATATCATAGAGCGAGCCATCCGCTCGATATAAGTCGGTTGTTCCTAGTGGAAATGCTTTTGATCCCCACGTGTTTGTGTAGTACATAATTGGAGTGACAATCCAGACCAGCACAACAAATCCAAATAGAATATTCAGTTGTGCCCAACCGGGTACAATAATTGGTGAAGCTAAATAAGCTGTTATATAGCTCCAATCTAAGTGCACCGAACCAACACCAAGTCCACTGATACCCGTTATTTGTGAAAACAGAAGATTGGTAGGTTTAAGTAAACAAAGGAATGAAAATGCCGCCAACAATGGAAATATATAACCCGGCAGCCAATAATACAAGAATGATGCCAGAGCGACGTATAGCAGAAGTCTTAGACGACTCATTTTCCAACGAGTGACATTGTTTACTGCATCCTCCTCTTTACTTTCGTGTAATGTGCGGAAAAATGCACATTGAACTAATGCACCTGGCCAGATCATCCCTGATGGATAAACCAAAAATCGACGTAATATACCTAGAAAGTAACTGAAATTGTCATATAGCATGAACATAGAGGTAAGAGAGACTCAAAAATCTTTCTAACGAGATTATGTACCGAACAGATAGTCAATTGATTTCTGCAAGATATTTCTCACACTATTCTGTTAAACACTGAAGAGAGTAGGTTTTTTATAAATCTTTGAGAATCCGTGTAATTTGAACGAAACGGTTCAGTTAGGCTCAGTGTCTATTATGCAGATATCCCGTTTTTCATACAGTAAAGTTTTGTCAGTGTGACTTAGTCGATTTTAGGCGTACAGATTTCGAAATAGTTCCATTTGGTGGGGCTCGATCTTCTGAACGTGACTATATAAGAAATTCTTAATCTATCTCATAAAGTTTTCTAAAAAGTAGATTTTAGTAAACCGTTGAGAACCCGTATAAGTTG